GACTGGCTGGGAGCCCCGATCCCCGGGGGTCACATACAGCGCTCCCGGCGGCCCGCTCCTACCTGCTGCTGCTGCTGCTGCTGCTCCGGACCGGCTCGCTCCTTCCCCGCTGGCGGACACGCAGCCGATGTGGCTTTGGCTCCGCTCCGCTGCACCCGGCCCAGCTGCTTTCAGCGGGAAGAGGCGGGGGGGGGCCCGGGCGGCCTTTGTAAATTCCCCCCCCCCCCCCCCCCCCCCCCCCCCCGGGTGCATGCAGCTGCGGGAGCAGCTGCCCCACCCCAAGGAGCCACGGGTCTGTCCCACACCCCGCCCCAGCTGGCCTGCCCCTGTCCCCTTTCTCACCGTGGGGGGTGGCTGGGTGATCTGCCCCCCCCCTTCCTCTTCCCCTCCTTCCACCACAATGGACTTACCAGCAGGAAGAAGCTCTCCACGCTGTATCGGAAATAGGTATTGGCCAATATGCCTCCTTAAAATTGGAGAGTATCGGCCTCAAAAATCTCAGTTGGTGTACCCCTATTAGTTAGTGTTGAAGGGTTACAAGATTTTGGTCTTGTCCCTAGTCAGAGATAGCACATTATATTACTTTGTTTTTATAAGCCAACTTTTATAGCAAATATACTTTCCAACCCTTGCTTTTCTATGCTCTACATGCAAGGAGAGGGATGGAACCACTCATATAGGAATATTTGCTTGTTTCTGTTTTGTTTATGAATGGCAACCGTTCAGAGCACAGCATTAGAGGTAGTCCCAAAGTAAATTGCTTAACAGAGTACAAGCAAGACATCTGCAAGTGCCAAAAAGATTTAATACATTTGTTCCAGAAATTACCAGAGTTGCAGTGTAGGAGTCAGTGTTTCAATATCTGGAATTAACTTTGAAATTAAAATTGTTAAAAAGTACAGTAGTATCCTCACAATATACATCTTTATTTTTAATCCACTAGTGTTGAAGGCTTTAAAATAGCAGAAAAGAAAAAGCAGTCACCTGTGACAGATAATCTCTCACCATGGGAAGAATGGTTCATTTGCAAAGAGAGAGAGCTACGTGCCCGCTTACAAGCCAGAGCTATGGAGGTGAGTATATCTGATTATTTTTCCTTAGATTTGGCAGCAGACAAACAGGCACCAAAAGACTAGTTTTCCTTCTCCATAGTGAAAAATAGGTAGCTTTGTTTTTTATCTTTAGTGTCTTTAGACACGCATAGCTTTTTGGGTTTGGCTCCACCAGTGTGATTCATGCTTTGTGCATTTTTCTTTCGCTAAAAGTTCTTCCTCATTGAAATTGTGGTATATATACTTTGCTTACCCAAATATCTGGTAATGGTTCAGATTTAAGGGATTAAAACATATTTTTATAATTGGTACTTTGATTTTCCTTATGGTTATCTATGCCTGCACTTTAGCAATAAAACACGACAGAGCGTGTACATAAACATGCTGAGGAACATGGTTAGGCATGAGGGGTTGTTTTGTCAACTGCTTAGGTGTTCTCTTATATAAGTTTGGTACCTTCTCTCAGAATAAGTGCTCCCCATCCAGAATTCCTTTCCCTTCATCCATCTACTGTCTTCTTAAAAATAACCTATCCTTGAATACTGACACTGAACAGAATAAATTTTGTTAATTGTCTTGTTCTTTCCCTAATTATTGTATTGCATTGCAGTGCAGGTTGCAAAAGTATAGGTTAGTGGTTAAAATACCAGACTGCCGATTGGATCTTACCTCTGCCATTGACTTTCCTTGAGCAATCTTCAAATTTGACTCTATCTACTGATTCCATTTGCAATATAAGTATGGCATATATTTCAGAAGTTGTGTGGCTTACCACAGTAGTTTGTAGCATATTTGGAATTCTAGAGAATTGTAAAATATTTTATATTGTGTTAAAGGTTATTGGGGAGCTGAAATTATTTGCTAAATCCCAGAAACATATTCTGACTTTTGTAGCATTTCACTTGTTCTTTTAGACTTTCCTTCTTTGTTTGTTTCTTAATTGAAGAAAGCTAATTTTTGGTGCTTGAAAAAGTGAAATATGTGGTATATGTAATTGTGCTTACTAAGACTGGATCAGAACCAAAATAGTAGTTTTCTCTATACATGTCAAGTGATGAAATGTTACATTATAACAAACATAACTTCAGTTTTTTCCTTTTTTAAATACAAATTTTTAAGGATAGTCACAGGATAAAAATAGACTCATAACAAGGGAGAAGTCAATAGAAGAGTTAAAAGATTTTTAATCTATTGAGGTTGTAATTCTGAAAGTGTTCCTACCATTCCTATCATTTGCAGTGATTTTGATAAAAGCTTATGTACTTGTTTTTCAGACCCCCAAAATAACTTGGATATAAAAAAACAGTATTAGGATTCTGGTTTTAAAAATATTTTAAGTTAAGGTCCCAAGAAAAATTAAGCTACAGACTTCTGTTGTCTTTATAAGTATCCTGTGCAGAGGCAATGTAGATTTGGATTGGATTTTTCTTTCAATAAGGCTGTTCTACAATACTTTAGGGTATCACTCATTCTGGCAGAGAAAACAGGATCCCTGTTCATCAGTGTAGGTTCATCAGGGCCATCAATAGATGGTTCTTGCCTTAATCTTGTTAGAATACGGAATTAATTATATTTTCAAACAATCTTTTTTTTTTTTTTTTTT